TGGAGGGCTCTCAGCAGTTCTTCCCGGCCGACCTGGTCCTCCTCTCCATGGGCTTCCTGGGACCCGAGGCCCGCGTCCTCGGCGACGAGATCGAGAAGGATGCTCGCAAGAACGTCAAGACGGCACCGGGCAAGTACAGCACCAACGTCGATGGCATCTTTGCTGCTGGCGATTGCCGTCGTGGACAGTCGCTCATCGTCTGGTAAGTAACCTCTTTGAATTGCATGCTCCGGCATTAGACACTAGCTAACTTTGCTTTAAGGGGTATCAATGAGGGTCGCCAGGCCGCTCGCGAGGTTGATTTGTACCTCGAGGGTAACACCTGCCTACCCGTCACGGGTGGTATCGTTAAGCAGACGGCCAAGGAGGTCTTTGCTGCTGCGGCGGCGGCTTCCGTGGCGGCCTAAGGCAAGGACCGTCGGGGTCGTCGTCGTCGTCGTCGTCATCGTGGGTTTGTATGACCATGTAAGCCTAAACTAAAACTGGCAACGGCATCTTGTTTTTGTTCAACACGGATGAGAGAAGGTCGGGTTACTACAGCACATGTGGTTTTTGGTTTTGCGTTTGGGTTTGCGTTATGTTGGTCGTTTTTTTACGAGCGGTGAATTCTTGTTTCCTTTTCTTTTCATGTCGATGATTTTTTCACGTCCTTTTTTCGATTTTGATACCATTCAAGCAAGAAGCATCAGCACAGCAATTCTTTGGGTTTCATGACGAACGAGTGTGGGCCATATATTGGGTTGGTCGGGTTGTTGTAGCCGGTGGTGCCTTGCGATGTGATGGATGATCTTTGTTTTGGGTGATGCACTTGGGTGAGGTTGTGCTTGTCTGTCTTTGCGTTTTTGTCCTTTGCCTTTGTTGATTGGCTCTGCTGGCGTTCTGTTTTTGTTGATGAAAGGTTTGCCTGAGGTGCATCTGAGCGTTCGGTGCATTGAGTTAATTACCTACTTTCGTTGTCTGGCTCTCTGTATTTCCTCAGTCGATGTAATTTTGGACAGCTTGTATTGTTTCAACACAGACATAAGGATTAGGCAAAGCAAGAAAAGAGTTGAGCCCGCTTGTTCAATGGCGTGTTTGAGTCTGAGTGAGTTGAATGGGGTGGCACGTGGGTGGTGACTCGGTGCTTCAAACTATTTTAGCAGTGCCTGCTACTGTGGACTGCCCGGTTTTATCCAAAGCTTCCAGCCAACCAATGAGGCTACAAATAGGCGTGCTCAATGGTCACTGAGGACCGTGTAAGTGAGTTATGCTGGGCGGTGGATTCGGCTTGGAAGCACGTGGGTTATCGATTGGTCAATGGCAACCGTGGAGTTGAGTTCAGGCAGGAAAGCATTGAAGCTTTTGAAGCTTGGTGGGGCTCGAGCTTTGAGCACAAGACTTGGACCCCTGTCCAAGCTTGCTTTCTGATGACGATCTTGTAATTACCGTATTCTGTCTGGTATGGACGTGCTTGGGGACTGGCTTCGTTGCCCTGGCGAGCCTTGGAATCGCCTCGACGTTTGTATCCTGTAACCTTCTCCCTCCCTCCTTCGTCTACCTGACGGAGCCGAATTACATCGCCACCAAAGCTGACTGCTGCCACTCGATCGTGCGTGCGCAATTGAGAAGTGCGACTGCGAACATCATCAGCATTATTATTATTATTATTATTATTTCTTTCTTTTTTCCTTCTTTGTATTGATTACTATAGTATTCGCTGCACGGGACCATCAGCCGACATCGCTCGACACCGACATCATGCGTTTCGGCAAGACGCTGCGGACGTCGGTCTATGCCCCATGGAGGGACAAGTACATCGACTACGCCAAGCTCAAGAGCATGCTGCGCGAAGACAAGCCCGACGACGAAGACGAGCAACCGTGGACCGAGGAGGACGAGAACCGCTTCTGCGATGAGATCTTCAACACGCAGCTCGAGAAGGTCGCGCAGTTCCAGGAGGAGAAGATGAAGGAGCTGCGTCGCCGCGTCGACGCCACCTTTGACAAGCTCGGCGCGCTGCCCACCATCGAGGAGGGCCAGCCCAAGAACGACACCCTGACGGGCCAGCTGAAGGAGCTCGAGGGCGAGCTCGACAACATCACGAACGAGGTCAAGGAACTCCAGAAGTACAGCAACCTCAACTACACGGGCTTCCTCAAGATCGTCAAGAAACACGACCGGAAGCGCGGCGACCGATACAAGATCCGGCCCATGATGCGCGTCAGCCTCTCCAAGCGGCCCTTCAACTCGGAGCAGGGCTACTCGCCCATGCTGAACAAGCTGTCGCTGATGTACTACGCCATCCGTCAACACCTCGAGGAGAATGGGGCGCCCGAGCCGTACCCGATCGATCTTGAGACGCAGCCCGAGACACACAAGGGCGAGCGGTACACGGCGCACAAGTTCTGGGTGCATCCCGACAACCTCCTCGAGGTCAAGACATATATCCTGCGGCGCCTGCCGCCGCTGGTCTACAGTGAGCAGTCGGCCAAGGAGGTGGACGGCAACGCGGACCCGACCATCACGTCGCTCTACTTTGACAACCCCAGCTTCCAGCTCTACTCGACAAAGGTCGAGCGCGACGCCGAGGCCTCGTCACTGCGCCTGCGGTGGTACGGCCAGCTGAACGACAAGCCCGACATCTCGCTGGAGCAGAAGATGGTGCACGAGAACGGCAGCAGCGAGGAGCGCAAGTTTGTCATCAAGGAGAAGTACGTCAAGCCCTTCCTCGACGGCGACTACAAGATGGAAAAGACGGTGCAGAAGATGGAGCGCCAGGGCCAGAGCGCCGAGGCAGTGCAGGAGTTCCGCTCGACCGCCGACCTCATCCAGGCCTTTGTGCGGGACAACAAGCTCCAGCCGGTCGTGCGGGCCAACTACGTGCGCACCGCCTTCCAGAAGCCCGGCGACGACCGGGTCAGGATATCCATCGACACCGACATCGCCTTCATCCGCGAGGACACGCTCGACCGCGACCGGCCGTGCCGCGACCCCAGCAGCTGGCACCGCAACGACATCGACAGCAGCAGCATGACGTACCCGTTCAAGAACATCAACCAGAGCGAGGTGTCGCGCTTCCCCTACGCCGTGCTGGAGATCAAGCTAAAGGACGACAACAACGCCGCCACGCGGAAGCGGCCGGCCTGGATCCAGGACCTGATGGGCTCGTACCTCGTCCACCCTTCCCCGCGCTTCTCCAAGTTTGTGCACGGCGTGGCCTCGCTCTTCGAGGACCACGTCAACAGCCTGCCCTTCTGGCTCAGCGATCTGGACACCGACATCCGCAAGGACCCTCAGGTCGCCTTTGAGCAGGAAGAAGAGCGCCGCGCGAACCAGGCACAGAACGAGCAGGTCGTCGGCAGCTTCCTCGGCACCAAGCTCGGCTCCTACAAGCCGTCCAAGAGCTCGCCCGTGGCCAAATCCTACCTGTCGGATCGCCTGGCAGCCGACAACGCCGCCGCCGGCGCAGGCTCAGGCGCGACCCCCCTATCAGGCACCCACACCAACGGCGCGACCCCCGTCGTAGGCGACGAGCCCGGCGAGCCCTCAGGCGGCGCACAGGCACAGGGCGACGAACGCCGAGACTACGGCACGCTCTCCTCCGTATTCCCAGGCTTCTCCCTATCCAAATACTCCAAAGCCAAACGCGCGCGCGAGGTAGAACTACCCGCAGGCGTAGTCGAACCAGTCGAGTGGATCAAGAACGCGGGGCCCTTGCAAATCGAGCCGAAAGTGTGGCTGGCCAACGAGCGCACGTTCCTCAAGTGGCAGCACATCTGTGTGCTGCTCGGCGGCCTCGCCATCAGTCTGTACACGGCCGCGGGGAAGAACACGGTCGCCGAGCTCATGGGCGTCGCGTATATTCTGGTCGCTATCTTTGCGGGCTGCTGGGGGTACTTCCTGCTGCATAAGCGCCGCGGGATGATTCTGCAGCGGAGTGGCAAGGATTTTGATAATATGCTGGGACCGTTGGTTATTAGTGCTGCGTTGATGTTGGCGCTTATTCTGAATTTTGTGTTTGCGGTGAGTTTTTTCTTCTTTCTTTTTTTCCCCTGTGTCCCACCCATCCCGCCCATCCCTCCTTGACTCTCCCCTCTTGAGGGAAGAAGAGAGAATTTCGTGTGAGATAATTACGGACCTTGTAAGGCTGACTTTTGATGTGTTTTAGTACCGGGCGGCGTTTCAGCATGGAGCTCATGGTGGTGGACATGGGAAGGTGCATGGCAACGAGTCGACGACGACTTTCATGGCGGAACTGCGGTGATTCTTGGGCGGTTGGGTGGGTGGTGATAAGACGAGACGAGACGAGATTTGATGTGATGTGATGAGGTGTGTCGTGTATAGGGGGCGTTTGTTGGTTGGCATCAGTGGGTGCATCAGTTGGATATCAAGTGCATGTATAGGGTTGCGAGCATATCTACTCGGTAGTATATATCGAGATTGGCATGTCCAGGTGGCTGCGGTTGGTGTGCTGTAATGTTGTGTCTTGGTTTGGTTTGGTTTGGTTTGGTTTGGTTTGGTTTGGTTTGGTTTGTTTTTATTGATCGGAGAGGAGGTGCGGTGCATTGTGCTCTCTCGTGGTATATCCGTGCTGAGTTCGGAGGGCTGACAGCATCACGTTTGGATGCGCTGGAGGTTGATGAGGCAGGTGCGAGTGAGTACTAACCTGGTAGTGTGTTCTATCTGGGCGGGCGACAGGTGAAGACGGTTTGAAATATAGGGTAAGGCGCGAGGTGAGGTACTAGACAGAAGAGATATCAAACATACAAGCACACTTCACCTTCCCTACCTACCCAAGGCACTTCAACTAAAGTTCACCCAAACCAGCCGACCGGTTATTCTATTCGAGATCCAGGGCTGGTAGCAGTAGGCTTGGTCGGGTACCGGCTCGGTTTCCGCTCCTCTACAAAGTAGGTAATTGCATCCATCCCCCTCCCCTTGAGCTTCCGAGTACCGCTAGCTGTCCCATCAAGTACACTTAAACCCAACCTCTCTCCAACAACAACACAACAACAACAATCGGGCGTGTGGCTCAGTTGGTAGAGCGTTCGCTTAGCAAGTTCCAAGAAGGTTTCTTCTGAACCTGATTCCTTGCGAAAGGTCCTGGGTTCGATTCCCAGCCCGTCCAATTACCATTGCTCACTCTGACTGTCCTGAGTAAGTTTCTCTTTTTTTTTTTTTTTTTTTTTTGCTTTGTGTTGATATCTTTTTTTTTGGTACGTATGTGTTGAGAGATATACAATTGTTCTCCATTGGTTGTTGTGGAGTTGTAATGCATGAGAGAGTGGAGACACAGATCCATTCGGGTGGGGCTGGGAGCTTGCCGTTGGCGCTAGTGTACGGGTTAGCGTTGTCCTTGGAACCGCTGTACCACCGTACCGGTACGGTACCCTCGTACACCGGGCCGTATACAAGGAAAGGTACCTGACCTGACCCGAATTGATTCCATGTTGCAATCCGGCTTCGAGAATTGAAAAGTGTTGGCTCTACGCCGGAATCTTTCTTTTATTTTCTTTCTTTTCTTTCTGTTTCTTTCTCATCACTTGAGCGTTGGTCTTCATGTTTTTCGACCAACATTCCGGTCCAGCTGCTTTGAACAGGAACTAGGGGGGAAAGGAGAGGATCAACATCAGTAAGATGGCTCAGCGCGCCATATCAATTAAGGGACTTGGCCTTTCACCTCGCAGGTACTATCACCTAGGTATTACGCAATAGCAAATGTTGTGCCTCTGAGACTGTCGACAGGGGGGGAAATGACGCTGAGGAGATCATATGAAAAATTGAGGATCACATACTTGCCCGCCTGCGCTCCGTGTTGGTCCCGTATCAAGGCAAAGATGTGTTTCAAACGGGATGTTCTTCCCAAAAGCCGTCACCGGGACGCTCAGCTCAGAACTCTCTCCATTGGCATCATTCCGGATCATAGACCTGCAACTTGACATACCTGGGTTCCTTTATGGTCCGGTGTTAATGAGACGGGAACCGACAGCCCATGGATCATTCACTCTTACAAGCGGTAGATACATCACATGTCGCCATCTAGTATAGATTCATGCACACGCATCCAGCTGAGAATAAATCCAAAAAGAAACCAATAGGTCAGAGAATTGTTGTTCAAGTGCAGACCTCATTGCCGCTAACGCCGAATCCCGACATGAAGATCCGAGCAGGCGTCGGTAAACCTGCGCAGATCGTCCGGCGGTACGGATGCTACCACTGTGCTGAGGCCCGCCAGATCATCGCTCATATGCTTCTCACTCGTAGTACCGTTCAGCACTGTCACGCCCATTTTCGACAGAAGCACATACCACGCCGTCGCCCGACTGATCTTGGCCATATCCGCCAAGGCCGCCACAGACAAGTGCGGCTCTTCTTCCGTGGCAAAACCCCTCTCCCAAACACCGCGATTCCCCGTCAGGGTCCAGAATCCCTGATATTCCGCCCCATGATCAAGGCACCAGGAACGCACTTTGTGGTCCCAACCGCCGGTGCGCTCACGGATGAAGCGGTTCTGCACTATCTTGATTTCGGGGGGTCCGATGAAGCGTTCTTCTAGCTCCTCTAGATCCCGAATGCGCGCATTGGAGATGCCGAGGGTGCGGACCGCGCCGCTGTGGACGTGCGACATCATCGCGTGCCAGACCTCGACACTGTCGTTGTAACTGTCCATGGGCTGGTGCAGGATGAGGCAGTCGATGTAGGCAGGGTCCTGGTCCGGGGTGGAGAGCTGGCGGAGGGATTCCGCGACCGAGGCATGGACCTGAGAAGCGAGGGTCCGGTATTGCTTTGTGTCTGCGAAAGCGGCGTCGCCAGGGGTGAACTTTGTTTGAATCTGTGTCGCGTGTGAATAGTCCCGGGCAGTCAGTCGTCTTTATTGATCTGGGACCTTACGTACCCACAGATCGGACCTCTTCACCAGCCCCTCGGCCACGGCCCGCCGGACGCCCTCGCCGGTCCCGGGCTCATTATAGTGGGTTTTCATATGGGCCGTGTCGATGGCCCGGAAGCCAGCCTTGATGGCCTTGTAGACGAGCTCGGCGGTGGATTCCTTCTTCCAGGCGGTTCCGTATATCATGTAGGTGGGCATCTCGGCTCGGGGCTGGTCCTCATTGGGCGGTGGCGAGGCGGCAGAGGAAGACATTGTGCTGACCGATTCCGACTGACAACGGCGTATCGATGGCAAAAAGAAGACGGGTGTTGTGGATGATGGCAGACAAATGAGTTTGATCAAGGTGAAACTGCGAACAGTTGTGAAAAGATGAGGCAGCGTGGAGGGAACGAGAAAGGCGAGCCGTGTTGGGCGAGCCATTATTGGACGAGATAGAAAGTGGCAGAGGACCGACCGACTGCCTCCCGTACCTACCCAACACTCACTTCAAATGTAGGACAAGGAAGGTGCGCCAGACAAAATTTTGAATGAGCTGGTCGACACTCACCCTCACAACCACTTGGCCGCGAGGTGTGCCTTCCTTTCTTCATTCACAAGGGCCCTACGAGACTAGTTTTTGTTCCAAACACCGATTTTTGTGAGATATGTATGAGATTTGCGACAGGAGAAAATAATGACGTCCATGTTAGTCATGAATGCCATGCATGCATGCAAGGCCATGACGAACTAATCGGGATTCGGGCGAGCTCAGTCCGCGTTGCTTGTCGTCAGAAAGTGACAAAGACGGGAGTTGAGTTTCGGAAGGCGCTGCCGTGCTTGGTGCTTGGTGCCGCTGTTTCGGCTATTTGAGCCGCCTGGCCGTCTCGCCCCTCCCTCACAACCCCACCTGCACCAAGGAGACACTGAGGGGAAGGGGGAATCTCGAGGAGGGCATGAAGTTGCAAAGAACTCAGACTTGAACAAAACACCAAAGAACAAGAGGCGAACCTTGTCCCCCTCTCGATTCCGTACCACACGCTCGCTACAAGGCAGACATTGACCTGACAGTACTGCAAACATATCATGGCATCAACATCTCCCTACACCCTGAAATGGGGCATCATGGCAACCGGGTGGATCGCTGAGAGTGAGCGACTTACCCCTTTATTCTAGCCCCAAAATTCAAAAGTCAAGACAACTTATGCTCACCATGAACACCAACTCACCAACTAGTGTTCACCAAGGATCTCCTCACCAACCCAACTGCCCGTGACGTGCACGATGTGCGCCACGAGGTCGTTGCTGTTGCCTCGTCCAGTGCCAAGGAACGGGCCGCCGACTTCATCAAGCTCATTGACGCCCCGGCCTCGACAAAGGCGTACGGGTCATACCACGAGCTGGTGGCCGATCCCGATGTCGACATCATCTACGTGGCCACGCCTCATAGCCACCACTTCCAGAACGCCATGCTCGCCCTCGACGCCGGCAAGAACGTCCTCTGCGAGAAGGCGCTGACCGTGACGGCCTCCCAGGCCCGCAAGCTTGTTGACAAGGCCCGGGAGAAGAACGTCTTCTTCATGGAGGCCGTCTGGACGCGCTACTTCCCCCTGAGCATCCAGGTCAGAAAGCTGCTGCAGGAGGGCGCCATTGGCAACGTGTACCGCACCATCGCCGACCTCTCGTTCAACCGAGACGCCCCGGAAGGCAAGGTGGACTTTGACGACTCCCACCGCATGATCAACATCGACCTAGCAGGCGGCGCGCTTCTAGATCTCGGCATCTACTCCTTAACCTGGGTCTTCCAGACTCTGTACCACATGCAGCCCGAGGAGGTGAAGGAGACCCCCAAGGTGGTGGCGGCCATCAACAAGTACCACACGGGGGCCGACGAGACGACGAGCATCATCGTGCAGTTCCCTGAGCACAAGAGTATGGGCATCGCGCTGACGTCTCTGCGCGTGGGCACCGACGTCGACGGGCTGAACAGCGCGGGGGCGGCGATCCGCATCCAGGGCTCGGGCGGCGAGATCCACGTCATGGGCCCGGCGTACCGGCCGCTCCAGTACAAGGTCATCAAGAAGGACGGCGGCGGCAAGATCGAGACGTTCGACTGCCCAATCCCCAAGGACGAGGCGCGCGACTGGGGCCACGGCATGTTCTATGAGGCGGACGAGTGCGCCCGCTGCGTGCGCGACGGGAAGAAGGAGAGCGCCTCGTTGCCGTGGAGCGAGAGCATCGTCATCATGGAGGTCATGGAGGAGGCACTGAAGCAGGGCGGCGTCACGTACCCCGAGCGCATCACGAGCGACGTCTTTGAGCCACACGGGGCCCTGAACACGGGCAAGAGGTGATCTTTGGTCGGCTTTGCGTCATTCGTCTCGGTGCCTTCGTCTGTCGGTCTGGCTGTCTGTCTGCATGGAACTTTGATAGCTTGTCTAATTACCTGTTTTTGGCGGCAGCTGCATGTCGGTGTTGCGCTGGCGTGCGTGATGTGAGACACGGTTGCGCCTGGCAGGGAAAAAAAAGAAAAGAATGGAAAAATGATAAACTCCATCCACGGACAGAGCGGGAAGGGCGGTTTGGCAGTTTGGCCAGTCTCAGAGCTACTCGGAGAATTTGCTCCAATCAGTGCCGCCGCCGCCCTGTCGTGCCTGCCGTGCCTGCCTGCCTGCCATCCATCCATCCCGCTCTGTGGCATTCTGTGGGCCGCTGCTGCGTCGTTGTTCCGCTCACCCCTCTGGAGTATGGACGAGCACACCCAGAACCCGTACCTGGGAACCTGGGAACCTGAGGAAATTAACAATGGACGTCACCACCACCCGCCCCCGGAGCAGCTTCCCCGCTAAAACCCTCAGCTCTTTCTCAACCTTAACCCAACTGCAGGCCATCAGCTCCGAACAAATGTCGTTCACTCTGCTCCTCGCTTTCCCCAATGCAAACCAAGGTGTGCAGTGTCTCAGATGTCGACGAAAACCAAATGCTGCACTAGTGTATCGTGCTGGCGCCTTCCCTATACTATAGGTCTAAGACTCTAACAAGCATCGTAGTTGCCTTGCCTGCCTGGAAGTTGCGCTGCAGGGACAGGCCTTCCATTTCTTGCTCACTCTTGCTCGCTCGCTCATCTGTCCCGCTCTCTTTGCTTCTTCCAATTCTGCCCCTCCATCGATCCATCCATCTCCACCGTTCATGCTCCCTAGACCGAGCTATAGCGCGCTCGCGGCCGCGCTGCATTGCACGCCAAGCGCGCCCGCATCTGCACC